CTTCTCTCCTTGATTAGTTTCCACCCATTGCTTCTTGTCCTACCCTCAGGTGCTTTGGAGAATAGCTTGACTCCCTCTTCTTTGTGGCTTTCTGAGTTCTCATACATTTTGCTAATTAACAAGTTGCCGGGGTTTTGTAGCCCTTAGTTGATAGGACTTGAGGCTTAACTACCAGAAGTGTATTTCTGAATTGATGTGTTATCTCCTTTTTGACAGGAAAACCACGAAATAATGGTTGGAGGAAGGAAACAGTAAGATGGAGTGAAGGAATTTGCAGGGCAGAAATCAAGAATTTCAAAACAGCCATTCTATCCCGCAGAAGCCGACACCATGCAGGGAGGCTTTGGGATCTGGATGGAGAAGTGGAAGCCTTTCACCTCTCGCTGCTCTTGGGGCCACCTGACACCCCGCTCTGCCTACCCCAAACCTCTTTCCCAATCTCTTAGAAGACACCCTCCGCAAGAGACGGGCCCAGAACAACCTCAAGTCGCCGGGGATACTTCTCTCACCTGCGGACCTTCCGCCCGACTGAGGCTCGGCGGAGGGGACCGCGATGGGCAGACGTCCCCCTCGACCCCTCCGACTTCGCCAGCCACGGCCGACGTTTCCGGCTTCCGTTTGAGCATGACGTCATTTCCTGCGCGCGTTCAGTTTCTTCGTGAGTGACAGCGTCTCGAGCTCTGGAAGCCGGCTAGTCTTTGTTTAACATCTAGAATCGACTGCAAGGAGCAGGGGGCGTTGTCGGAACTCCTGGTCAGAGATTTTTCCCGTCCTTGCAGCGAGCCAACCACGACCCCTCAGAGGTCGCTACCGAAAGAGGACAAACGCTACATTTGGGGAATATGTGTGTGTATGTACACAAGCAGTTGTCTTTAGTAGCCCCGGTATGTGGAACATTTGCCACTAAAAGTACAGTTGCACTTTGTCTGTAGAGACTCTCAGTCATCCAGGTCATGGTTGTCCCAAATGTAATTTTTCAGGAAGCAATTAGACTTTCTTTTTTCCTTTGAAGATGATGTGCTTCTCATCCAAGGAGCTTCTTCAGCTCTGACAGGATAGCAATAGCACTTAGACTTATATATTGCTTCACAGTGCTTTCCAACCCTCTCTAAGTGGTTTACAGAGTCAGAATATTGCCCCCAACAATCTGGTCCTCATTTTACCCACCTCGGAAGGATGGAAAGCTGAATCAACCTTGAGCCAATTTGAACTGCAGCTAGCAGTCAGCTGAAGTAGCTGCTCTCTAACCACTGCAGCAATGGAAGGATTGGGACAACCATGACCTGGATGACCGAGAATCTCTACATACTTTTTCTATAC